TGTTACATATTATTTTTATACGCATATTATTACATATTTTTTAAATTGTATAAATTATGTTAATTGAAATATTGATCGATTTTAATTTATAGAGACACCAAAGTTGCTACAACTCCAGAAAAGAAAGTAGTAGAAGAAGAAAAAAAAACAGTTCAAGAAGTTGACGAAGATTCAAAAACATCTGAAAATGGAGATGCCAAAGAAACCAAAGAAAATGGCTCAAATGAAGAAAAAGAGTCAGAAAATAAAGAAGTAGAATCAGCAGAAAATGGGGATTCTACAGGTATTGATAAAAAATTAAATTAATAAATTATATAAAATATATATAATATATAAATTATATAAAATTTGTAATTTTGTGATTAAATTATATAAATGCAAATAATTAAACTAATAATAAATAATTATTAAAAAAATATGTATTATAAATAATTAAAATCAATAAGAAATTCAATTTATATTTTTATTTATAGATGCATCTGTTGATAGCTGTTGTATAAAAAGGAAATCAACAACTTTAAGTGAAACTACAGAGGATACTGCTACTGATGGTGCCAGTCCTGAAAAGAAAAAAAAACTTGATGAAAAATGTGCTGAAACAGAAACCAATGGAGATGCAGAAGCTACGGCCTAATGTTTTTTTATGTTCTATTGCAGATTTAATCTATAGATAATTTTAACAGCTAATTGACAAGTCAGGACATTTAAAATTTGTTATCCATGCATCGTCATGATAGACGAGCATTAAAAACAAAAAGTTTAATATTGTATTAATGACTTTTGTGTTCAGACATTTATGTGTGTTTATTGCGACCATTTTTATGATTTTAATTGGCAATCGTATATATCTACATCATCATAAATTACCATCTTAGATTACTACCATTCATGTTTCCTATGTTCTCCACATTGATGTCCGTACATAATATACACTGTGCTAAATTTAAAAAAAGAGAAACATACAGATAATCTTATAAATAATATATTTCTGATACATAAAAATAGATGATGTGTGATATGGTGCTTGAAAAAGATATTTATGGGAAATATTCCATAAATAATTTTCATTTTTTCTGATACATAAACATAATTATATATTAAAATTTCATATCAATGAAAGAAATAATATTTGTTTGCAAATCAAAATACATTCCTAAAATAATTTAAAACTCATCCAGTGTTTATTTTCTGACAAAAAATATGAAATGAATTTTATTTATAAACTATGATAAATATTTGTTTTCTAATGTAATCTATACATATATATTAAATTATATGAATTACATATTATTTAATTTTCAACAAAAGTAAAAAAAAAACGATTACAAAATTTATTAAATGTGTAATCATATTAACAAATTGATTGTTTAAAAGTTGCAAACAATTTCGCAATTTTTTTTAAATAATAAATTTCAAAATAAGTTATTTCAATTAGTTTATTATTTTTATTCTAAAAATATTGCAAAGGATAAAGGATTTTTTTATTATTAAATTATTTAAATAATTTTCAATATTCAAATAATTTTTTATTTTATTTAACATATTTAAATAAAATAATTTAAATTTTGATATTCTAATTTCAATTTGTATTATAATTTTCTTATAATAAATACAAGAAAATATAAATATCATAATTTAGTTGAAAACTCATGTAGCTCATAATAAAAAAGTTTGGTTTGTTTTAAATGATTTAGATTAGAAAACAATTTAGATTTAAATTATGTTTAATGAAAATATATATTATTCTTCAATTATTAAAGTTGTCATTTTTTAATAATTCTTTTATTAATAGCATAGAGTGCAATTTATAAATATTTTTTTTTGAAAATGTATAATAATTTTATGTACAAAAAAATACTGGTGAGTAAAAAATATCAAATGCTATTTGCAATAACAATGATAGAAAATACAGCGTTCACAGTTTTATTTTAATAAAAAGTTGCATATCAAAAGATAGAAGTTTATATGTGATTACAATAATACAATAAAATATCTTTAAATAATATGGAAAATGTAAAATTAAAAGCAATTTATTGTATATTATATGAATATGATCAATTGATTTATAATATTAAACACAAAACTAGTACTGTATCATCATTAATCCTTAGCTATTATCTAGTACAAATTGTTTTCATATACAAAGTATGATACAATCAGAATAACTGTGTAATATTATTTTCTATATAATAAATATTACATGAATTGATAAACTGAATAAGATTATATTAAAACATATCCAATAACAACAAAATTAGTATTAATATATTTATATTAGATATCTATATTCATATACTTAAAAAAAATACAACATAATTATTATTAAAATTATTTATGTACAAAGTATATATCTTACTTTTGTATATATATATTACAATTGATTATATAATATATAATTATAATAAAAATTCATTTTCAATTATTTTCAAAATTTCGGAAATTTAACATAAAAAAAACATTTTATATATTACTTAATACTATGTATTAATTTTATATAAAATATTACTATTATATTTTTTAAACTTAAAATTTAAATATGTATATTATTATGTTTATTATATTGTTCATTTTTTTATCTTTATATTTTTATATTTTTAAATATTTTATAAGTATCTTATGACATTATTGTAAAATTTTAGAATTAAAATTAATTATACGTAATACCTCTATACCTGAATACAAAAATAAAATTTTTTACTTTTTTACTATCTAATTTAAACATAATAAAAATTATGATATATGAAATATAATAAAAAATAATAAAATTTTCTACTAAATAGATTTTCTTTATTTGTATAACAATTCATTATAGAAAAAAAATACAAATTATAATGAATAAAATAATAATAATAATATCTAATAATTATAATATTTTAACATTTTAGAATAAATACATTTTAGAAAATTTTCAAATAATATACAATGTCATCTGTAGGAGAAAATTGAAATGTTTTAAAGAATTTAATAAATGCGTGTTTATATGCAAGTACCGGATACTATATTTTGTTTGTTTAAATTGCGACTATTTCTTAAATATAAAACATTATAATTTAATGACACATTTAAGACGTAATTTTATTTCATTGTACTATTTATACAATTATATAAAATGAATGTGAAACCAATTTTTTCTAAACCTAGTAAGTAAAATTTTTATTAGATTTATTATTCGTAGTTACTATTCGAATATTTAAAGTAACTTTTTATTTATTGTAACTCTATTCCATTTTTTTATTATAAGTTTTTTGAACATAATATTGTGTACTTTCTTTATTATATTTTATACATATATAGATTTATTTCTTTATATAAAATGTATATAACATAACCTGTGTTAAACTAATATTTATTTTAAATACTATGTATTATATAATATATTATTAATATATTATTAATATATGTTTAAATACATATTATATTTAAAAAAACTTTTATACATTTGATCATTTTTAAAATTACAGGAGATAGTATGTGGCAAGAAGATAAGTCAGATATAGAAGCTCATTCGTCTACACAATTTGTTTATAATGCATATCATTCTCTTGCACTTAATATGCAGCGTCAACGATTACCTACATTTAAGTATAAAAGTCACATTATTTATTTATTGGAAAAATATCAAACATTAGTTTTAATTGGAGAAACTGGATGTGGAAAGAGCACACAATTACCTCAGGTATATTTCTATTTTAAAAAAATTATTTTTATAAATAACATTACATATAATACATT